AAATCTGAATCCTTTATCGTTTGAACTCGTCACAAAACATGTACTAAGGAAAGTTTAAATAAATTCTCTGCGCGTAATAAGCTTGTATGAAGAGTTTATAGCGCATTTCACAATAGGAAGTCTGAAAGAGGTTTATCTTCACTCAAAGGCTTTGCTACTAATAGTATATGTAAGGCTTCGTCTAGACTCAAAGCTTAAACGAGACATACAAAATCTTCTAATAATGTAGTGATTAGAGATTAGATATTCAGGATTCAATTCCAATAATATTCTTGGAAGTCTAATGATATAATTGTTTTTACTTATATCTTATATCAGGGATGGCCAACCGGTCGAACGCGACTAATAGTCCAGTTGATCATGGCAAGAGGGAGGGTTTGTACAAAAGTCGATTGCTTGGGTACCTCTGTCCCATTCGTGTTTCTACCGTGAAGCAGTTGTGTTTGCATGGCTGTGTTTCGGTTTGAATACGGTGGGATATGGCGTGAATTTACTGGGTACAGAGGAATAACCGATGAGTCCTCAGGAATGGCAACGCATGGGGGGTATCATGGGTGAAACAGTATACTCTGTTATGCCCATAGTACTGCTCATGTCTATAGGCGACGGTTACCACTTTCCATCAGGTGGGCCGTTAGCTTGTTTGACATTCTAAGATGTATAAAAAAAGACAAAAATAATAAATTACTCTACGCTGCAATATATTTTTAAAAGCAACGTATTTCTTAGGGTCTTGATTTCGGGTCATTGGTATCTAACGAGAAATATCTTAATTTGAAGAAATGTGTTGAACAACTGAATTCTTGTTTTGATTCAACATATTTATGTGAGTCAGCATTTTCCTACTTAAAATAAACAAAAAATAAACATTCATATGTACATTGGATTCTTTAATATTGGCAATTTACAACTACAAACCTGATTTTGCTAATCGGATGATGCTCAGACGCAATGCTCACACTAATATAAATTAGTTGGCATAAGAATAATTTTCAGTTTTATGTTTTCCCTCTTAATAAAATAAAAAATACTACAATATTATATAATTGTGTACTGAACTATGTTGTTCCACGTGAGATTTCAAAAAGTATGTAATTGGTAGAACGCAGAGGGTTTCGTCAGTAAACAGTAGATCTTGGGTCTAGTCAAGTTGGCCACGTCTGTTTTATATGTTACTTAATCATATGCTGTGTTGTCCTGGCATAGAATAGGCCAATCCTTCCTTTCACATGGATGTCGTAAGAGGCGACTAAGGGAACTTAATAGCCGAAGAATGGGCAGCAGCGTTTCTCTTAAAACATCACTAAGGCCTAACTGCGGTAGTCAACCTGTCTGCCAAGCGTGGCAACTACTGGCAAAACCACCCAAATAGTATATATGTAGCGTTAGTTTCTGTCCTCTGAATAAATAGTAGCTTTAAAAATAAGCAATGGCCTTCTACACCCCATATACTACGGGTATACGAAATTTCATGACGATCAGTTGAGCTTTTAAGGTGTTAAGAAGTAACAATAAAACAAACAAACCGACTTTCTTTCACATTTATAATATTATTTAGGATTGTATTATTTGTACTCAGGTGTACAAAAGTTTATGCTCCTCGCAGAAAACAATCAGGAAAAGATTAGAGAGATTGGTAAAGCAAAAAGGCGGTTGCTATCGAAGTTTCTAGCCAGACAGAAACTGTCTCGCGGTTTCTTGGCTGTTTATTTTTCTAGGATTGTGGCTCTCGGCTTGTGTTGGAAAAATACGACGCCGGTTTCAATGGTGGTTTTATCTCGAGTTTCCAGTTTGATAAATAAGTGTTGAGAATTTCTCGGATTGGTTTGGGATTTGCTTGTGTTTTCTTTAGTTCTAATGTCACATCTGATAGTTGACACCGGAAACGAGGATGGAAAATATATAAAGGTCTATAACAATTTGTGCTTTAAAATGCTAAGAGATTTGCGGTTGAGTGATAAACTTATAAATTACAGAGATCCTGGATTCTATTTTAGCCGATGTCTAAAACTTGTTTCGAGTAATTCTCTGATATCTGTAAATTTAACCCTAGTAACAGGAGCAGGCCAATAGGTAGGAGTCGATTTTTTTTAAACACAGGAGACAAGCGAGCATTCAACTCACCTGATGGTAAAAGATTACCATTGTTTATTGATACCTCCAATATGAAAGAAATGGCAGGTGTTTTGCTGGCCCTTGTTTTTAAAAAGGAATTTCTTATGTAAAAGTACAAAACCACATCTGGTATCTTTTTGCTCAAAATGAAGTGTTTTTGGAATTCAAAGACTGGTGATTACTGATACAATTAAGGAACTTTAATATAAAAATAAAATATTAAATAACTTATAAGAGTTAAAGTCTCAAGAAAAAAAAAAAAACTATCAAGCTATTCATAAATTTATTACAAATAGTATAAACATTATTCAATTTTATGAAGACCTTATAAAAATGTATTGATCTATTCATAAATTCAGTTACAATTGAAAACATAAAAAGGCTCTAAAAGGCAAGAACTCAGTGCCGTAAAAATTATTACAAAAAAAAAATTAATGTGGGTTTGTCGATACCTTCACTACAACAATATTGAAAAATGTCGCTGACTTCTAAAAGAGACTATAGTAACGAGTATATTAATTTGAATTTTTTAAACATTGCGTATTATAACACACACATACACAATCGTACGTTTATATTTCACTGGGCAAGCAGTCAACCATGAGGCGAGTTATAAAAGGTTCTTTCTGGCTATCCTGCAAGAGTATCGCCGTGGGGTCCGCTGTCTCGAAGGAAGCCAGTTGCAGTACTAAGCTGGTCTAAAATTGCACTATTTTGGGTGGAAAAAAATAGATCACGGAAGTACACATTCATACATGCGCAAATAAAAAAGAATAGATAAAAATATTTACAAAAATAATATGTTATTTATTCCGAGAAGTGTTCTAATTTTTGAATGAGCCTTTGACAGCCGTTTTCTTTTTTCGAAATAATGCCGATCAGAAGTAAATATTTCGTTTGATACGATTACGTCGTTTTCCGTTAAAAATTCTAATGAATATTAAAGAGCTATTACAGTTTTTGATGAAACCTCCCACACTTGGGTGTTTAATTTTTATTTTTTAATTTGAATATCATATTTCTGGGAGACTTATTTCGTCATTTCTTAAAGAGATAGTAGTAATTGCCAGCAATAATAATATGCCTACTCGAGTTTCTTTATATTTATTAACCGACTTCAAATAAGAAGGAGGTTATATGTTCAATTATATATATATATATATATATATATATATATATATATATATATATATATCCATACCCACCGTTTTCTCCGTCAATTGTGGATTGATTTTTAAAATTTCTTTTTTTATTGAAAGAACATACTCTTGAGGTGTCCCCATTGTACCAAGTCAGGTTCTGATGATGGAATTACAAGGACATCAAAGGAAACATGGTTTATGTTGTTTCATATTTTTTGAAAGGTTATTTAGTTATGTAATAATAATTGTACGAAAGGCGAGCTTGAGAAAAACTCAGGTGGAGAAAGCTTGACTGTGTTCAGGGATGCTAAGATGGTATCCCAGCTTAAAATTTTGTTTTTCAAATTTATAATTTATTTAGTAGATGTTGACTCTGTCTATGCTATTGGTATATGCTAGCGGCGCACCACTGAAGGATTAAAGTGAAAATTAGGGTGAGGATGAAAGCAATTCAATTAGTGTATTCTGACGTATTCTCCAAAGAATTAACCACGATGGTTTACAAAGGAATTCGAGTGAAGGTCGATCTGTGTGTATACAAACAAACAAACATTATATTTGTTTGTATAAGCTTTATTACGTATTCATATTCAATATATATATTAGGTTATAAAGAAAATGACAAGTTACACTTATGCCATAAAGGGATTTCTTTTAGCCAAATTTGAGAACCCGAAAGGAGAAAGTATCTATAGGGTTTGTATGTAAAAGGTTATAAATATGGTATATGGTTTTTAAAGGGGCTGTTTGACCCCATTACTAACAATATCTTTCACCCTAAAGATTCCTTCGAGCAGTCAATTTCATGTTTGGATCATGGTAAAATGATCGTCACTTACTCCGAGTGCATGTAAAGTTGTAAATGTAAGAGGCCTTCGTGTAAAAAGACGGTAGCCTAGAAATTTGTGTCACCAAATAGCAACACCCTCATATAAGTAAAGATTATTAAATTAAGATTAATTTAAGACACCACGCCGGCATACACAGACCATCAGTGTAGAAGCCGGGGTAACGGGGTACGCCCCGAGGCCCCTACCTCGCCCGCCCGCACATCATCCGGCGGGCAAGAGAAGACCGTGTTGTTGTTAGATTTATTTATTTATTACAAAATCCACAGCTCTTAAAAACTATAGTATTATAGTATTATTTTTAGTAATTATAGCCAATTACTGATTTATAATATTTAATATAGTTAATATTCATTATGATATTAACTAACTGTCCACCGCTAAAGATAGGAGCTTCCAAAAAGACAGATTTGGTAGTAGTTGCCACGCTTTGCAGGTGGGCCAGCAATCACTGTTCGGCTTTTGGTGATGTTTTGACACAGCCGCTGATGCTCATCTCTCGACATTTAAGTTCTCTTAGTCGCCTCTTACGACACCCATAGAAAAAGAGTGAATAACTCATTCTATTCTGGGACTATACGGCTATATTAATAATAATTAATATTATTTTTCAATGAATAATTTAATATTACTAATATTAAATTATTCATTGACAAATATTTTTAATATTACCATAGAGAAAATTAGAAAAAAAAAAATTAAATATCTTATCAAATAATTTATTGCTACGTGTAGCAGTAATTTATTGTCACTTTGGTATTGTCATTTCCATTTGGCAACAAGAGTTTAAAGGTGACCTCATTATATAGATATATATTTTTTAGAAATATACTTAATAACTAAGAAAAATAAGATGCAAAGAAGAGCTGTTTAGAATGTATTCTTTTTGTTGCAGGTACAATATGCACCAAAAGTCCGAATGTTCATAAAATCTGGAAACATAAAGGGTCAAATACAGGAAGGAGACACATTGATTATGGGTAAGTGTACAAAGTGTAATTTTTTTTTATACAACTTAAAATGGAAAACAAGCTGACGGCCCACCTGATGGAAAATGGTAACCGTCGCCTATAGACATGAGCAGTACCATGGACATAACAGAGTATACTGTTTCGCCCATAATACCCCCTATGCGTTGCCATTCCTGAGGAGTCAGGTGTTTCTGTACAAAAATGATACATGTTAATTACATTGATGTATAAATAACCTAGACATATAATTGAAGATAAGTAATTAAAAAATAAAAAATAAATATTTAAAGATAAAAAATTTCTTTGAGATCACTGCCAGCTGGTAGGGTGCTTAGGATACTTGCTGCATGGGTATGTTAAATTACATTCGTTATCAGTTTTTAAAATTCCATTACAAAAAAATTATAAACACATTAAAATGATTTATAATATAAGAAACATATTATATAGAAAACAATTACTATAAACGAAATAAAATTAAGAAAATACTATTTTTTATTAATAATTAGCTTGCAACTTTTCCAAAATAGAGGTATCTACAAGTTTCATAACAACCATAAGACCAATAAATAAAAATAAGTATGTGGACTTCTGTAGTAGGATTTTTCTTTTTATTTTATTTAGGTACAAACAGCTATTACAGAAAAAATATAGTTATATTTTTTATGTTATATAAAAATAGACAACAAGTACCGAAATATATACAATAGTAGAAATCTATGTAGTTAATTGTCAAAATTGAACCACACGCGTACAAAGTAAGTATATAGAGTGATGAAATGATATAGTGATGAAATGATTATATAGAAAAATAGTTTGTCCAGATTGTCGGACTGTCGTTGAGCAATATGACCGAAGTATCCAAGAATCCTCCGATAGCAGACTGTCGAGAGCCTATTCTCTTATGCGGAGTCGCGTCAGGATATATATATATATATATATATATATATATATATATATATATATATATATATATATATATATATATATATATATATATATATATATATATATATATATATATATATATATATATATATATATATATATATATATATATATATATATATTCGTGCGCTTTACTGTCCAGGGAATTCTCAGCATCCGTCGCCAGCACCACAAATATATATTAATGAAAATAAATTCAACACCTTAGCTAGTACACAAAAATTAAATTCCTATTTCAAGTTTTACGAAAAAATAAAATCTCTCTTGTATCTTTTATTGCAGCAACTATATTTCACACCTCACGGTAAAGTACAGACGATTTATTTTTATATTCTAGCAAGAACATACATCATATTAGTCTGCAGCAAGGATTCCACATATGCGAGTTTGGAATAATGAAGCTTGTAGAATTTCTAGACTTCAAGATATACAGACCGTTCGTTATGTTAAAACACAGCTGAACTCTCTACACAACAAATCTTACTTTAATTTTAATGAGATTACTTAGATATATATGGTATAAATTTATTAGGATACTTTACGTATTCTGTTAACTGCATACAGTTTTTATGTTATGATTATGGAAACATGAAAGTTAAATAAATAAATAAGATACATTATGGCTTGTCTTTATAGTTCATTTGCAAATATTACGGTAGTAAATTCAGCGAAATGTTTATATATATATACTAGCCAACTCAGTAAATGTTGTTTTACCAAATACATTATCGAGAATTGTACATGAAAATGTATCGTACTACAATTATTATATTCGATTGCCATCTTGCAACTCCATTGCGGTATATAAAAATCGCGATTAAAAAACAGGGTTTGATCGTAAAATCGTGAAAATTTGAATTTGTATGTATTTTTCAATGATAAATCATAATAAAATAAACATAAAAAAATTTGACAAAAACATAAAAAAAAATATTTAGGGGTAGGTCACTCTTATCATTGAGGGATATGAAAAATAGATATTGGCCGATTCTCAGACCTACCCGATATGCACACAAAATTTCATATAAATCTGTAAAGCCGTTTCGGAGGAGTTTGGTAACAAACACCGCGACACAAGAGTTTTATATATTAGATATATAGGCAATATGAGATTAAATAGTATACTTACACAATGGTCCGCTTCCTCTCAAATAGGGGTTTCCATATGTAGCCGCGTATCTGACATCAACACCACCAGACATGCTCACACCAAGAGTCGGCATAGGTATGACTGTTGAAAATTAAAAAAGTTTTATATTCTTTTTCTATTCTTAGACACCCCTACTGGTACCTTTTTTGATGGGTGAAAATGGTATGATAACCCCGCCTGCGCTAACGGGATACGCTGGCGGGGCACCAGTGAAGGGTGATAGATGAGAATGAAAACAGGCCAGTTAGCCCATCATGATGAATTCATCAGGAATTAACCATGATAGTTTCTAGGAGGAACCACGAGGAGGTCGACCTGGTTGGGTATATTGCTAGCAATGGAATTCTCAGTCTCCATTACTAACAATCCGTTTCCTCCTCCCCTACTGGTACCCTAATAGAGTAAATCAGTAGCGTGGCAAATTTCATATAAATCTGTAAAGCCGTTTCGGAGGAGTTTGGTAACAAACACCGCGACACGAGAATTTTTTATATATATATATATATAAGAGGAAGTTGACTGATTGACTGAGACAGAGGGAGACTTTGTACAAAAGTCGTTTGCTTGGGCACCTCTGTACCATTTGTGTTTCTACCGTGAGACAGTTGTATTTGCATGGCTGTGTTTCAGTTTGAAGGGTTCCCCACCCTTCAAACCGAATGGCAATGAATTTACAGGGTACATGGGCGAAACATCTGTTATGTCCATGGTACTGTTCATGTCTATAGGCGACGGTTACCACTTTCCATTAGATGAGCCGTCAACTTATTTGCCGTTCTAAGTACCATAAAAAAAGTAGCATAAATACATATATCAACGCATAGTCGAAAGCGCTAAATCTAGAATCTTGAAATTTTACAGTTAGATTTTTTAAACAGCGTAAGTGAATAATAAGAAAGTAATTTAGAAATTTATATCCCTAAGGACAGAAATTAAAATCCACGCGTAAGATCTCTTTCTGGTAACCTTGATAGATAGATTTTCGATGAACACGACAAGTTGCGACAGATCGATTCGAAAGGATTCGAACCCGGATCTCTCGGGTATCCGAACCTGTATGCGATTCCGGTTACATTACGAGAGAAACTATATTTGATGGCAAATTTCTCAGGCTCTTTGATACCTGACGCCTTACCTGATAGTAGTCCTTAGTAGCTCCGCTATGTTAGGTACTAGATAACTGTATGTGATTTGTGCAGGGTTATTTATTTATCATTTGTTTTGTAACCGTGACTTCCTCTGTGAGATATCAAGATCGGGATAAATATGACATTATGTGACATCATCAGCCATTAACTGTCCACTGCTGAACATAAGCCAACCCTCTTAGTGGCTTTTGCCAGTAGTTACTACTCTTGGCAGGCGGATTGGCAACCGCAGTTAGGCTTTAGAGATATTTTAAAAGGGACGCTGCTGCCCATCCATCGCCCTCTTTTAGTCACCTTTTACGATATCTACGGGAAAGGAAGAGGTAGCCTATTCTATGCTGGAACCACACGGCACGTAGTATTTGTAGAAAGTATATGTTCTTCAAATACTACGTATATACTAAATTTCTTGACTGTGTGTTCAGTTGTTAGCGCGCTAGGAGATAGATAATTTATTTACATTACTTACAGCACATAAATTACAATAAAAAAACATACATATAATAAACAGTAAAAGAGATAAAAGAATGAAATAAAAAAAGCAATAAAACAAAAAAAAAAAAACAAAATATATAAACTAACAATTTTCTCATTTATAATACACTGGTTGTAGACAGTGAATTTACTTCTATAAATAAGTATATAAAGTATCGTATAAAAATTTCAAAAAGTGAACAGAATTTCGTGTCTCCGGTCTATTTATAATTACACTTCTACATCCAAAGGTTGCCTGGAAGAGATCACTCTTCGTGACAAGGCCGACTATTGTTTTCTCAGTGTAATCTTTTCTTGTAATTGTTTATATTTATAATAAGTTTACTAATGTACTCTTTCGGTGGAAACAATAAAGAGTATCTATCTATCTATATGCTATCTTAGAATGTCTGTGTATCATATTTCATTGAAATCCTTTCTACAGTTATTATGTGAAATAGTTACAAACATGCAGCCATACATTGTCACACAATTTTCATGCGTGAATTTACTGGGTACAGAGGAATAACACCTGAGTCCTCAGGAGTGGCAACGCATGGGGAGTATCATGGGCGAAACAGTATACTCTTTTATGTCCATGGTACTGCTCATGTCTATAGGCAACGGTTACCACTTTCCATCAGGTGGGCCGTCAGCTTGTTTGCCATTCTAAGTTGCATAAAAAAAAAAAAAAAAAAAAAATGTTTATACATGTTTTTTTTTATACAACTTAGAATGGCAAACAAGCTGACGGCCCACCTGATGGAAAGTGGTAACCGTCGCCTATAGACATGAGCAGTACCATGTAATAATAATAATTATTATTACGAGTATTACATACATAAATGTGAAAATAATAGGATTACATATTAATATGTATAAATTTAATTACGTAAATACCTTCACAGGTTGCCAAGGAAGTGCGAATCCCACCAACCTCACCTACAAGTGGTACATCAACAATAATCAGATTGTGGGCACAGTCAACAACGAACTGGTAAGTTGAAAATATGCAAAAAAAATAACCAACCCCAAATATCAAAAAAATATTATTAAAACTAAATAAGTAGATTTTGATGCCTTGCTTACATTATTTATTATTATTTTCCTACGGAATCTCTATTTTTTTTTTAATAATGTATATCCTACGTTACATATATATATATATATACATTCCATTTATATGGAATGTATATATGCATATTGAATCTATGGAGAAAATATACGAGTATATTAATATATGTATATTACAAGTTAATATCCCTCCACCCGGTTTCTTATATTGCAGCAAAATTCTTAAATACGCAGACGTAGGTTATCACAATAAAGTTGGAATGTCCCACCGCTGGGGAAAATATTGCTACATTTGCTATACAACTTGGCAGTTTGGCACATCAGGGGTTTAATTCAAGTTGTCATCTTGCTGTGTATGTTATTTTGTTTTAGTTTGGAGAGAAAAGAAGGTGACAGGTCAGTGTTGCCAGATTGAGTATTTTTTTCGTAATTTTTGGGTAAAAAAATTTTTATTCGCTAAATTTTGGAGACTTTTTCGGAAATTTTGGGTACTCTTAAGTTTTATTTAGGTAATAAGAATAAAGTATACGACTAAAGATGAGATGATGGGAGAATAGAAGAAGAGAGAGAAGTCTAAAAACAGAATACGGATTACTTTTTTCGTCGTTCACTTTGTGGCACATTGCAAAATGTAATGAAATAATGGGTAAAAACCTGGGAATAGTATCATTTTGGAGAAAAAATATTTAATGTTTGGGTAAAAATCCAAATTCGCATCTGGCAATCCTGTGATAAGTTGAACTTTTACTCCGTCATCGCGCTATACGTACCTAATCTGCGAATCGAATTTTTTCTGCAAACTTAAAATCAAATTTTGCCTGCACAGCGTACTCTGAACTCGGATGGTAGTTTGTTGGAATCTTGTTTACTTTAACTAGATTTCTAAATCCACGTATGATGAAGTTCATACAGCGATATATGAGTACTTACTTGAACTGAACGTCATTTGCTTGGCTTATTACAGTAATTGATTGGATTTACTGCGTTTAAAGTACATAAGTTTCTAATTGGATAAGTAAATTATATCCGTTAAAAGCAGATATAGTACTTATAATATAAATAATTACACGTATTAATTTCTATTTAGTATGTTTCTATGTTGTATATATATCTTCCATTCCGTTATTTTAGTTAGTGTGTAGCACCAAAGCTGGAAAAAGGAAGCACCTATTCAACTTTGTTACAAATTGTTATTAATCAATTACCTATCAACTTTTCTAATTATCTTTATTTCTACAATACAACTTGGCAATTGCAAGAAGACCAAATCTGTGCGTTCACAGCAAAAACATACGCCGTTTGTCGTATCTTCTCACTTTTAAAGCACTTCCCTAGGTAATAAGTCGAGTCTAGGGGTCCATGGCGTTGATATATCTCGTTAGATATATCAACGCCATGATCTGTTTAAATAGGCCACATTTTGCTTACTCAGGGCTCTCTTTCTTATCGGGACCCCGTACAAGGCCATCGACCGCATTCGGATTTATACCTGCAGCTGATTTTTACCACCGTACAACTCGCCATAAACAAAAATTTCGTTCCAACCATCTTGACGAGTGGCGGTCTTTCACCGTGCATTTTTCAAAGCACTTCCTTCCACGCACTACCACTCTTTGGAATCAACTTCCAGCAGTAGTATTTCCGAACCGATATGACATCATAACCTTCAAGAAAATAGCATATTCCTTTTTAAAAATCGGCTGCGCACCTGCATTGCTTTTGGTGTTGTGGGTGATTATGGGCGACGGTAGGCACTTGCCATCAGGTGAGCCGCATACTCGTTCTACCCCTGTGATAATAAGAAAATAGATTATTCTTTTATAATTATGGTATCGTTTGGTTATAGCTGTGCTCCACTTGGCAAGAATACTGCTGCGCCTTCTGCCAATAATACAAATTTTATCAAAAGTATGAATAAATGTAACAGATGAAAATTTAAAGCACCATTTCAAATGGATTTTAATCACCTGCAAGGTTTTTACTTTCGCTTCCTTTTCATGTAGCGTTATAAAACACTTCGTGTAATTCTAAGAATGTATTAATTTTGCAATTCGTATTTGCATCTGTTCTTCCAGAAAGTATGGGTACTATAATATTTCGTGGAATGTACAAATTTCTTGGCACACCTACCGTCTGCAATATGCATTTTTCATTAGTCGTATATATGTCGTAAACTTATACTTTTGTAAACTTAACAAAGTCCATACTCATGTTTACATTTTCTTGGGAAATTTATGTGTGGGTTATATATCTGAGTTGCTATAATTTTGAATATTTAAGATGGTTTCTCTACCTTTTGTATATTATGTTCTACAAGGTATAGAGTAGATATTAAAGTTTAAATCATGTATGTATTATGAAATAAATATAATTTCCACCATTTTATTTTCTTTTTTTTAAAATATATAATTATTAGGCATATAGACTTTATTCCGAGTACGTAAATAATTTATGCGCAAATTTATAAAATTAACTAGTTAAATTCTGATAATCAATCATTATATAATTGAGATAAAGGTAGTAAGACAATGAAGATGACTAGACAGTAGAAAACAAAAAAATAAGTTATATGTATCTTATTTTTAAACCATCGTTTTAATTTAGTATTGTTCATTACGTTGCACCGTCAAATACCAGAGGGAGATTTTGTACAAAAGTCGATTGCTTGGGTACCTCTGTCCCATTCGTGTTTCAACCGTAAAGCAGTTGTGTTTGCATAGCTGTGTTTCGGTTTGAAGGGTGGGATATGTCGTGAATTTACTAGGTACAGAGGAATAACACCTGAGTCCTCAGGAATGACAACGCATGGAGGGTATCATGGGCGAAATAGTATACTCGACACTGCTCATGTCTATAGACGACGGTTACCACTTTCCATCAGGTGGGCCATCAGCTTGTTTGCCATTCTAAGTTGCATAAAAAAAATACATTTTGTATTATTTCTGTCTATGGTCAACTGGATAACGCCATATGGTGTTAAATCCGTCAGCTTGTTTGCCATTCTAAGTTCTATAAAAAAAAAAAAAAAAAAAAAAAAAAAAAAAAAAAAAAAAAAAAAAATCCGCCATTTACACTTTCTTGGTGTAATAAATAAATTAATAAACAGCTCAATTCTGAAGTCTCCTTTTTTACAGATACTAAAGAATATTTCCCGCAAGTACAATGACGCTACAATCAGATGTGAAGTGTTCAATGCGGTGGGAAAGAGTGCTGAAACGAAAACCATAGAAGTGGCATGTGAGTATCATAGTATAAAGCACAGTGTAGAACATTCGATGGTCCAATATCTTTGGCATGTTCGTAATTATTTCATAATAACTTAGAACTTTAGAATACTTACCAGAGGAAGAGTTTGTACAAAAGTCGATTGCTTGGGTACCTCTGTTCCATTCGTGTTTCTACCGTGAAGCAGTTATATTTGCACGGCTGTTTCGGTTTGAAGGGTGGGATATGGAGTGAATTTATAGGGTACAGAGGAATAATATATATATATATATATATATATATATATATATATATATATATATATATATATATATTCTTTATTGCACTAAAACATACAGTAATAACAATGTTAGCAAAGGTGAACTTATCTCTAAACATGTGAAAGGCGAGGCAATATATGCAAAAAGCAGCCAGCTTTCTAGCACACTGATACCTAAAAATAAAAATTTGCATTGTAAATTAATAATAAATAAATAAATAACTAACTAGACGATATTTGTAAATGGGAGATATTGAAGAAATAATGATAGGGAGAGTAAGAATACGAATAGCGTGTCGCCGTTACTTCTCGTCTTCAAAATCTTTAATCTTTATGGGAATAAAGGACAATATACTAGACCAATACTAAATGTGACATTTTTATGCGACTTGAAATGGCAAACCAGCTGATCGAAAGTCACCGCGTCGCTTAGGAATTAACAACACCATGGACATATCAACACCGTTCGCTTATGGGGAGAGTGTAAAACGATGAAATGGTGTTATTTTATTTTTGGGAAAGTCTTTGGTAATTTGTTCACTCTGTCTGCCTCGCTAAAAATTAGGTCTGAAGATAGATGGTTTAGCAAATAAATTAGAATGTTTTGATTGCTTATCTATTTGCTAATTCATAAATATATGTCACGCAGCCAAATTCTTAAGTATCAAATCAATTTTTTCATCTATTTTAATGGAAGAGTATCAAGATGTAATAACAACAAAGCCTCGATTAGAAATATACGAAAGCAACTCTTATGGCTTACATAAAATGAACTACTTTCGTTTTACGAGCACCGACCATAAAATGACTCGCTCGTTTGGGACTCTCATTTTCTCTTACTTGTCTTTTAGGAACGTAGGCTTTGATCGTATAATTGATTGTAGAAATAACTTTGGCTTAAGTAACGAGTACTTATGATAATGTTTCGGTATTATTCGAAGAGTTTTATGATTTAAAAGCATGGAATAAGTGATTCGGTGATCTGACATTATTTAATATATACTTACCACGTCTATCTTCCTTTGAGGTAGGCAGCAACAATTTATAGTCATAATATTCTGTTTTAAAGTAATCATTTTTAAAATTTTTTATTCTACGAGGATCATTTGAAAAGTTCTTAGCCTAACATGGTTAAAGTCATTGGTTTTTTTTTATAACTACCCTCATTTTGTAGTTACATTATTTAGCATCAAGTATGCACAGTTTAGTTTATTCACAGTAACTCATTGTTCGTTTACACGTAATACCGTAAGTCAAGTCAGAGCTATTTTTGAAAATGGATAAAATTGAACATCGTGCAGTGATAAAATACTCGTATCCATACAATCTCTTCACTTGCGAGTAGTTTTCAATCAACTTCAAAGAAAGAATTCGTTTGAATTTTGTTTTATGTTTGTAACCTCAAATCTCCGTCATTTATGAACAGATTTGGAAAATTCATTTTTTATCTAAAAGAAAATACATTCAAATTACTTGTACAGAAATTTCATTAAAATTAGTTTAGTAGTTTGGTTTTTGAATCAAAATAACACCATAACTGTTGTTAGTGGTTTTGATAAATATAGTTTTGATATTTTACAATGATTCTTTTTATTGTAATAACTATCGGTTTAACTTATGCATAATTGAGTCTTGACTTGAGCTTGATTGTGCGGCTCGGTTCGCTGAGTGCGAGCTCACGCTTGCTTCGCAGCCGTTCATGATTAAGGATTACGTGTTGATCACAAAACTAGTCAAGCTTTCTCGATATAATTACATGTAACTTCAACTGGTAGTAATTACATATTACGAAACTTTTAACAATAAAATGATTCCTTTCACCACAACAACTAACCTAACATTTATACGTTCTCGGATAGAATCATTTTTAAAGCGTATTCGTCCATTTAATCTACCCTAATAACAACCGTATTCAGATTTGTTCAAAGCTCATTTTTCTCTTAACCTTTAACCCTCAACACAATAATAAACTGAGCAATAATTACAACGGGTGCAAGAATTACTACTAAATCGTTAACAAGAGCAGTAATTGTGGAATTAACGTTAAATACCTTTTATTGTGTTGTGGCCAAATGTGGGTTAGTAATACTTGTTTTGCTCTCCCAATCTTACTTTGGGAGAATGTTAATTAAATTTAATTAGCACAATGCATTTAATATTTGTTAACTTGGTTTACAGAATTTCTCTAATTAAATAACTTTAATTAATAATCTGTTTTAAATAGATGTTTGTTAAGTATTTTTAATATTTTATACATATTTATGTTTATTACCAGAGGGAGACTTTGTTCAAAAGTCGATTGTTTGGGTACCTCTGTCCCATTCATGTTTTATCCGTGAAGCAGTTGTGTTTGCATGGCTGTGTTTTGGTTTGAAGGATGGGATATGGCGTGAACTTACTGGGTACAGAGGAATAACACCTGAGTCCTCAGGAATGGCAACGCATGGGGGGTATCATGGGCGAAACAGTATACTTTGTTATGTCCATGGTACTGCTGATGTCTATAGGCAACGGTTACCACTTTCCATAAGGTGGGCCGTCAGCTTGTTTGCCATTCTAAGTTGTATAAAAAAAATATTAGTAGATACCTTCTGTCTTTACTGTTTTTGGTAAGTTTTTTACCTTTTTCTTTGAACTTGGCTAGATACACTGCCACGTGTTTACATTTTTCTGTCTATAGATTAAGTAAGTCAATAATAATAAAATTATTTCTATTTGTCTATTTTTATGTAACATGGAAGGTAACTATATATAATATATATGTATAGACGTGATAGCACCAGCATTCTGTGTTGATGAAAGATGTCAGTTAGTAAAGACTCTATGATATTCCCTATTAGTGATCAATTTTCAGTAGGTATATAATTAGTTGTTTCATTTCTATACGAGACATCATCACGTCATCAATATCATCATCATCATCACTATCAACATTATCGCTGACCACTCCAAGCTATTTTTAAATCATTTAATAATTATTCGAACATTATTAGTATTTCTAATATATTTATTTCTTGTAGATGGACCATCTTTCAAAATAAGACCACAGAACGTAGAAGGCGAGTCTGGATCGACAGCGACACTCACTTGTATGGTAGACGGTCATCCACCAGCCAAAATATTATGGTTACGATATGACAATGAACATGTTATTGTAAGTCGCACTATATCTGTAATGAAATTTCAATCGAATTTAGAATAAAAAAAAATTGTCAATATAGTATTGACTATATAGGTGTAAACAATTCATTATTATTGTAATAGAAGTATAGAATAGTATGTTTAATTTTAACTATATTATGTTTGAATGTTGTGTCAGTGAATTTACAGGATACAGAGAAATAACAGTTGAGTCCTCAAGAATGGCAACGCATGGGAGGTACGAGTATTATAGGCAAAACAGTATACTCTGTTATGTCCATGGTACTGCTCATGTCTATAGGCGACGGTTACCACTTTCCATCAGGTGGGCCGTCAGCTTGTTTGCCATTCTGAGTTGAAAAAAAAACTAGGTTTTATTAAGTTTTATGTGTGTAAATTCACTTAGATGTTAATAATAATGTAAGTGTGAATTAAGAAGGAACATTTAAAAATTAATTCTTTGAACAGAGTATAAAAATGTAAGGACATTTGCAATGAAAAAATTCATAGGACATAAAGGCTATTTTGGTTTTTTTTAATAATCATCCAGTATTTGTGAATTTTAAAATATTAAATACCGTCGAGTCAAACTGTCATAAGGTTACATTTTTCATCTTAATGTAGTATAATTAATCTAATTCTATGTTAAAATTAAACATATTTATTGGTACATGAATTAAATTATTAACTTATTTATTTCTTCATTCAGAGGGTGGGGAAATCTTCAAATTTGACTGTAAAGATAACGAAAGAAACCGCCGGCCAGTATTGGTGTCGAGCTAGCGTCGACCATTACCAAGATATCGAGGCTTCCGCCATGGTGTATGTAAGAGGTATGAAAATTTATACCAACCGGTTATACTAAGAATACCATAGTTGAAATAGTATTATTCCGTTAACTTCATTAACTTATATTTTAACTAACGATCTGCCCCGACTTCGCACAGGTAGATAGAAAGATAAATTATTATTTGATATTAGCTTTAATAGACAATTTTTTGATACTTCGGATTACATTCTTGTAATATTCATAGAGATCTCTACTTTTTTAAAAAAACATATAGCCTATGCTACTTGTTAATATTGATAATTTTATTTATGTTTGATATAATGAAGCATGAGCACTTGCGCCAAGCAATAAAAAACACGTATTGAAATACACTTATACTTTTATTATATTTATCTATTACAATTTCCTCAGCCATATATATTACTTGTTACAAACACCCCAGAGAGAATCATGCAGCGCCCTCTCGCTTCCTCTCCCGTAACTTCTCTCTCGTTGTCTATGTGTAATGTTGCAATTGTTAAAATAATAATTGTGGAGGCTGGAGATACCAAACAATTAAACTCAACAGTTAAAAATAAAAATAGTTGTATATTAGCTTTCTATAGGCGTAGTAATTTAAAAAATCGAGTAAGTAATTTTGAAATTTATCCATTTTAAACAAACATACAAACGAATCCTTATTCTTCACAATATTAAATGTAAGGATAACCGGATTTAATTGATCGATTGACGGAGTTGAAACTCTGGGTCCGTGGGGCTCCGAGGCCATGAATCTTTTCAAAGAGATTTCACGCCGGCTGGTGGAAAGCTCTGGTGACCAGAAGGCTGGCCTATACTTTGGTCAACGCATTTCCATTGCTATTCAGCGTAGAAATGCAGCAAGTATCCTAGGCACTACTACCTGGCAGCTGGTTGGCAGTGATATCAAAGAATTTTTTTATCTTTATATATATATATATATATATATATATATATATATATATATATATATATATATATATATATATATATATATATATATTTTTTTTTTTTTTTAATTAATTAACACAAATTATTTATTATGGTAATTGTTATTATTAAAAATTGATTGATTGAATTTTTTTTTGTTCTGGTCACGAATGATCCAAGTTTTAGGATTTAAGTATTCTCTAAACAAAATGCACGTAAGTCCGGTTATTCTTACATTAAATTAGAAGAAAATTAATTACTTAATTACTTACGAAACTTTTATCAATAAAATTTACCAACTTGCAAATAAATAAACTACTTTGATATTATCATTAACACATTCTTTAACAAAATGTGACCCTGTCTTACAAGCAGTTTACAAATATCGGCTAAAAGTATACTTTAAATATGTTGTTGATTTTTTTTTACTTCTGTAATTCGGTCCTCTTTATTGGATTAGTATATTTGTGGAATGAAATTGCGAAAGAGGTTTGATACGAAGCATTTGTCGTTCCATTGTTTCTGCCTACCTTAATGGGAGACGGGCGTGACAGATATGCATGTGTGTATGTACGGAATGAAATTAAATAATTATTGGTGTCTAAGATACAGACTAGGCCCAATTTAGGCACGAATGCGCTGGACATAATATTTTATAAATATTTACATATTAAACTTTGTAATTACTTAATTGTATTTTTATAATTGTATATTTTTATGCCCAATGGCTGTTTATTATTGTTATTTAATTAAGTAATTAAATAAATTATTCTTTTAGGTGCACCAAAAATAACTTCCAATGAAACACAATATGGGGTAGAGGGGGACAGTGTAAGAGTGGAATGTGTCTCATTCTCTATTCCTAAACCAGACTACATTATGTGGACGTTTGCCGGTGGCGAGATTAATACATTCCATAATCAAGTGAGTAATTATATGTACATATATAGATTATAAACATAAAAAATCGAAGTAAGAAAGGAATATCTTTTATAGTAACGTAATATAGTACCATAGATAATATAATACTATACTAAGAAAATACAATATATAAAAAATATATTAACTGTACTAAAATGTATAACTTCTCTATATTAAACGAATTGCTATGTTTTGACTATAAAAAGGTTATAAAAAAAACTCAGCATTTTAAAGAATTATCAATACTTTCCTAATTCTAATTACAAAATTGGCTTACAGATACTTCTTTTCAATTAATTAAGTTAATAGTAAAATAAATATTAATATTGTTGAATCTAATTGTACCTACTAATACATACTTATATTTACTTACAATATTAAATGAAGTCTAATGAAGTATTTTATTTACATTAAATTGTATATGATATACTTTTTATTGTTTAATACTTATTTCTATTAACATTTATACCTACTATATATTTTTTTAATTTTGCATGACTTATTATGGCGTAATACATGGACTTATGCCTATTATTAATAGCTATTATATTATATCTATATTTAGTATGTTTCTTGTAAATAAATATTAATTAATAAATTAATTTATCGTAACATTTCTTGTCAATAATTTTATTATATACATATCCGCAAAATTCTCAAAATATTTATACGCATTGGAAATTTATAGGAATATGCGTTCCTAGAAGAAACATTAGCTGATAGTCTTACAAAATCAACATTGATTATAAGGAAAAGCGAAGCGAAGCATTTTGGAAAATATAATTGTACGGTTACCAACGAGTACGGGATGGACAGTATAGAAATAAATTTAGTACCAGATAGTAAGTATTTAGGATAAGAATTAAAAATATATTTTTAAAACTAGCAACCCGCCCCGGTTTCGCACGGGTGGGGTCATTTTTTAGATTGATATAACTTTTTTATTTATAACCAATATACCCAATTGAAATAAAACAAACACTATATGTTAAGTGGAGTAAACCGCAACGCATAAGTGAAAACCGTATTCGAATCGGTTAAGCCGTTTCTGGAATTAGCGTGCACAAACGTACAGACACACAGATACACAGGCAAAAATTCTAAAAATCATTGTTTTGGATTCTATTGCGTTCATAAAGCTAGCCCCTATCTATAATTGTTTTTTCTTATATATCTTCCATGTACAGACAGCGACCAGTTACGATTTTATTATATGTATTGATAATATTAAATGTACTGTTACAATTACGTAGTGGTGAAGAAATTGTTTTCATCACCATCTTGTAACAGTTCATCAATTTAGTTTATCCAATGCTGAATAAAGGCCTTTCCCAATGTCTTTCCCAACTCCTTCCAATATGTGCAATCCTTCGCTTTTCGTATTGGGTGCCACATATTTGTGATGTTCTTTATTGGAAAGTTTATGTCCATAAGTCACCATGGCTGTGCTTCGGCTTGAAGGGTGGGATATGGCGTGAATTTACTGGGTACAAAGGAATAACACCTGAGTCCTCAGGAATGGCAACGCATGGGGGGTATCATGGGCGAAATAGTAAACTCTGTTATGTCCATGGTACTGCTCATGTCTATAGGCGACGGTTACCACTTTCCATCAAGTGGGCCGTCAGCTTGTTTGCCATTCTAAGTTGTATAAAAAAAATGCTGGGAAACTATCTATCTTTACATAATAACAAATTTGCTTTCAGAATCTCTGCCAATATTCCTTATCATAACAGCATGTGCCACTGTTCTAACAGTTGTTCTCATAATAATGCTCATTGTAATGCTGTGTCATCGAAGAACAAGTAAGTCAGATGAAAAGAAACCAGATATCACTGACATAGGGAAGACTTGCGCCGATCAGTTCAAGGACAGCGATAGAAATTCGAATATCAGCGATCTGAAGCTAGAATTGAGGCAGGTGGAAGGTAGCTGTGGTTTGGTAAGATTTTTATCACGTTCTATCATGCCAGTAGACTCATGTATAACTTTAATATTATGTTTTGGTGGAATACGTCTAAAAGGCATTTTTTATGGCAAACCAGTATACAGTCTGCGTGACAGAAATCGGTCATTGTAACATTATACTTATGGACAATTGCAACACTAGGGATGTTAAATGCATTGCCGATCTTGAATAAAACTTTAATACGCTCTTTTTGAATTACCCCATACGGTAGTCAGTAGTCTTTAAAAAAGGAAAAGAGTTCAATTCGGAGCTTGAATGATCTCGGGAGGATATATATATATATATATATATATATATATATATATATATATATATATATATATATATATATATATATATATATATATATATGTATGTATGTATAGAATAGGATACTCTATTTCAAGTCTCTTTTTTCATTAAATTAAGAATTAGTATTTATTCATTTATTATAACTTATCTATCGTCCACTTGTGAACATTTCCATATAAAGATCCTATTTGTATCAAGCAACTCTACAATACTCTTGAGACTGTTACTCCATCTTGCAGGAGGTCGAAACTCGAGAACTTTTCTATCTCATTGATTATCGGCTACTCAAGCTATATGACCAATCTATTGCCATTTCAGCTTACAGATTTTTCGGACCATTTCAGCCGCTTTAGTTCTTCTGTGGATTTCTGTTATTCGGCTGGCTAAATATGTGAATATAATTATAGGATAATTCAAATAACGGCTCCGAGACCGACCTCCATCCGAGTCTTCATCTGACTTCGAACCTTGGACTGCCGTTAGCTGGACCCGTGTCATTACCTGATAATGGATATGACAATGAGCTTATGAAACAGTATCAGAGATATAGCGGGGATTTTAACCAACCTATAAGCAACTTACATTGTAAGGTTAGTACCAACGAAGTTAATGGATTTTTGGATGACTACATTGTAATTTTTTTAGTAAATGTATTAGCATTCATAAGGAAACCAGCAAGGGGTCCTCTACTTTCTGCCACGCACAACCACTCTTTGGAATCAACTTCCAGCAGCAGTATTTCCGAACTGATACGATAACATAACCTTCAAGAAAGGAGCATATTCCTTTTTAAAAGGCCGGCAGCACATCTGCAATACCGTTGGTGTTGTGGGTGACCATAGGCGGCGGTAGTCACTTACCATCAGGTGAGCTGCATGCTCGTTTGCCCCCTGTGTTGTAAAAAAAAAAGTTCTATGAAGTACTTTAAGTTTTACAGTCAACTGTTCACTGTTGGACAGTAATGGACAGTCCCAAGTTACCTGCACTTACTGACTTCCTGCAATGCATTTGAGATCGTCACTCCATCTAATGGAGGGTCTTCCAATGTGTTTGCCTATACGTGGTCACTACTCTAGAACCTTTCTTCTCCATCAGTCATTGGTTCTTCGAGCTATGTGACCAGCGTATTGCCACTCTTATTTTCATTCACAATGTTATCTTTATCCTTCAAATTCACAATATTGAATTACAATTCTACATGTCTTATGAACGTTGTTAAATGTTAATCTAAATATATTACAAAGGGTTAACAGTTATTTGCCATAATGCTGACGTCCTATGTTATGCATGTTAATTTATTTTCTTGGTCACGATTTTACAATTGCTAACTTCAATATTAATAGTGTATTCAAAATGTCATCCAAGGTCTATTTGCAATATCAGATATATTTCATCTTTTACTAACATACAGACTGACTACGCTTTTGACACAATTTTGAGATCAAAACCGAAAAGTATTCGAATAAATGAGTAATCATTAAAATCGGCCTACATTTCTCCTTCTATTGACATTTTTCTATTTTGTAAATTTATTATATTAGTTGTTATGTGTAGATATATGTATAAATGACATAATGTACTATAATCTAGACTTTTAACATGTAGGGTCAATTTAAATAATGTAATTGAATTATAATTTTGTTTACCGATTTTTTTTTTATATAAAATGTAAAATATTTGCATGCCTATATCTTTTAAAGCAATTAAACAGGTGCCAAAATAATACCACGTGACTTGTAATAATTTTAAACTGTTAAATGCAAATAAACTAATTTCATTTCATTTCAATTAACCAGGATGTCGCATAATCTATACAACATACACAAGTAAAAAATAATTTTAATGCATTTCGACAGCGGACATTTAATGAAATTACTATGTAATCATTTAAGATTTTGTTCTACAAAAATAGCCGACTTCAATCTTGGCAAATACTACTTCTTTTGACTTTAAAACTAAATTACTAAACCAATTTTGATAAAATTTCTAAGGAATCAATATAGAAGTATATCCTTTCATATATAAAATGAATTTTATAAATCAATTTATAAATAACAGAGTTCTGAGGTAACTAACATAAAAAATACAACCGAATTGAGACACCTCATTCTTTGAAGTCTAGTAGTAATAAAAAGTAACATCTTTTCATAGTGAGATATAATTTAATAATAAATAATAAATCTGAGTGCTGGCCACGTTGGCAATAATAAAAATACAGTTTTTTTTTGCTATTGATAATTTATGTAACTTTTTTTGTTGTTGGCAACAAATGTTTTCTATCTTTCTTCTTTCTTTCTTTCTAATAAAACGTGCACGGATATATTTCACGCAATATTGAAATATTGAACGTAGACCATTCCCGTGCACTCGATCCCTCTGGACTATTTTAAAATGCATGATACCATTTGAAACTTGAGTACTGCAAGCTATTCTTAGTTCACTTGAGAAATGCCTGCTTCTACGATTCACATTTAAAAGAAAAATATCGAGATTTACTGTAGTTTATTTCTGTAATCCAATATACAATTCAATATACAATGTACTTGCGTAAGTAGCTTTGGTATATATACATACGTAGATTTTTTTTTATACAACTTTAATGGCAAACAAGCTGACTGCCCACCTGATGGAAAGTGGTAACTGTCGCCTATAGACATAAGCAGTACCATAGACATAACAGAGTATACGTAGATTGTATATAAATTAGCAATTAGCAAATGATATGTGATACGATCACTTCGCGATCAATTGCTAATCGTCAAAAATAATGGCATAATAATGTAACGGCAAATCCTGTAATCTCACTGCCATATCCCACTCTATCCCACCCTTCAAACAGAAACACAGCCATACAAGCAATTGCTTTTTGATAGAAACACGAACGAGACAACAGAGGCACTTATGCCCTTTGGTACATTGTCTTTTTTAGTAAAACAAAAACATACCTTTATTGAATTTTATCTTGTTATTTTTTTGTAAAATTTATGAAGGGGAAACATTTTATCATTTTACCCATCATTCTTCGAAAATCAGGTTAAAAGTGACTCTGTAAACGTTATTTTACAAATTGGTCTAATAAGATTTCTATTGACCCGTGTTCTTATCATGCAGCATTGTTTGCGTGGCTTTGTTTTACTTTGAAGGGGGGGGGGGTTGTCTGCTAAATTACAGCGTACAAAGATTTAACCTTATTTATTTGTTTAACACTTTATTGCACCAATTTTCATTTAATTAAATAATTTTACTGACCAGAATAAAATAAGGCGGATTTAATTCTTGTAGCATTCTCTACCAGTCAACCTTTGGCATGAACAATGAATCATGAAATTATATATAGTATTTATTAAATTACTACTTACTTTCAGTAATTCAGTACTTCATTATTGGAATAGGTAAAGAAGATAACAACTAAAAATATATATCTATACAAAATAAATAATACATACATAAAAATAAAGGAATGTGCATATATTTATTAAATATAAAGGGGGATTTATTGATGAGCAATCTATTTCAACCGGGGGGAAAGGGATTGTTAGCAATGGAGTTTGACAGCCCCATTGCTAGCAATATGCCTTATTAGGTCGACCTCCACGTGGTTCCCCCTGGAAAACATCGTGAACAATTCTTGTTGAATTCGTCACGATGGGCGATAACTGACCTACTTCATCTTCACCTATCATCCTTCACTGGTGCCCCGCCTGTGTATACTGATAGCGCGGGTGGGGTTACCATTCCATTATCATCCATTAAAAAAAATCTATTTCAACCTTTGGATACACCTTAGTCCTCAAATATAGCAATAACAAACATCTATGTCAGTGTGTCTTCATATCTATGATACTGTTCATATCTATAGGCGACGGTTTTCACATACTATCAGGTGGGCCGTCTTATTATCTCCCATTTTAAGTATCATGAAAAAAACCTATAATTGTATTTTTTTAATTTGGAACTATCCGACTTCTGGCCCAGTACGTTCAACCTAATTTATGTTGGAACTTTAAATTTTACACGCGTTTTCCTTATGTAATATAGTATTCACAAAGAAAAGATCTTCGGGTGGTCCCACGGGATCGGGCCGGATACGCACGAGCGATGCCGGAAAGTTTTGTTTTACTCTTAGTATTGGATATAATGAATAATAATGGTATATAGATCTAAAACATTAAGAGCTTAATGCAGTGATTTATTATTTATTTTATTTTATTTGTAACCTCCATAGTGCAGCGGTTACATTGTGTTTTTTTTAACGATCGCGGATTCAATTCCCGAATAATGCAAACGTTTTTCATTGTTGGGTATGGTCTATTTGTATTAGTCTAGGTATATTATATATAGGGATTTACAAAAAAATTAAAGATTTAAGTATATTTGTCACTGATCTAGTATTTTGTACTTAATTTTGAACTAGATGGCGCTGTGTAACATGGCGTGTGTTATTTATTTATTTATTATTATTGTTTTAACATAAGAAAGTTTCTTGAGTGTCGACCCTGTATGCGCAAACGCAGTGTGGGATGACTTCTCATTGGATGATATGACGACTTCAAATATATTGCAAGGAGTCAGTAGATACAGGGTTCAAGGCTATAGTCTATGAGGGATGACTATGTTCAGCAGTGAACAGATAATGGCTGACTTGATGATAATGATTGGTTTTGCCAAATTTATTACTGCAATCTTTTGGAGAGATTACTACAAAGAGTATTTATCTACATATCTCATTAATCGTTGATATATCTATAAAAAAAGGTACTAAAAGCGACTCTAAAAAAGTGCATTCGAATTATGCACTCACAGTGACATTTGATTATTAATTACCACATTATATTTTTACAGAAAAAATACTTTAATATTTTTTTTTTTTACTTTTATACTTTTTTTCTATAAATCACGCGATTTATAGATGAGGAAAAAATTTGTATTATATTTATTTATTTATTTATATATATTTTTATATGTAAACTTTTGTTGTTAGAAATAAAGATATTATTATTGTGACAAAGGGAAAAGTGAGGATTCACATTACGTAACATTTAATGGTACACAGTGTACATTATGTTCAGTAGGTACATACGAATGGACCTTTCTAAAAAGCAACCTAGTGGGAAATCATTTGCTACGTGACTGCAATATTAGTTGATTTACCGTAAACAATAGGTACAGGCACATAGGGTTGTCGACTGTGCATTTGTAAAAACTGTAATAAGTAATGCACAATTGTAATAAGTAGAACTTATAGATATGTTATTAAACTTATAAAAACATTTTAATGTGTCGTTTCATCCCTTATTATATTTTTTTATTATTATTATTACTCTCGTTTTAATAGAACTTGTCACTTCATATGCTGGAGTTGAAAAGTTAAAATATTATTATGACTCTAAAATATTTTTTATAAGTTTAAAATATTTGTTGATTTATATTCTTATATGGCTTTATTATTATTATTATTATTTTATACAACTTAGAATGGCAAACAAGCTGATGGCCCATTTGATGAAAAGTGGTAACCGTCGCCTATAGACATGAGCAGTACCATGGACATAACAGAGTATTCTGTTTCGCCCATGATACCACCCATGCGTTGCCATTCCTGAGGACTCAGCTGTTATTCCTCTGTACCCAGTAAATTCACACCAAATTACAGTTAATTACTGAAAGATGGACTTCTTAGACAGAAAGACCCGTAACACTGCGACTTCAATGATATTTTGTGCTTGCCTTTTTTTCGTTTACTGCTAATTCACAGGACAGGAATTTCAAAATGTTCTTTATCTCCGATATTTTTTATCTCTTTAGGATATAAGGAGTATTTCCCATAGCAGATATATCGTTTATGTATGAATGGGCTACAGCCACAAATTATGTTGCGGCGTTTCTTCCTCATTGGGTAATGTGCTTATTTATTTTAATTTATTTGGCGCACATAACAGTAGTTTACAAATACAAACTTCAAATATAACATACAAGTACAGTGGGGGAAAGGGATTGTTAGTAATGGAGACTGAGAATCCTATTGCTAGCAATATACCCAACCAGGTCGACCTCCTCGCGGTTCCCCCTGGAAACTATCATGGTTAATTCCTGATGAATTCATCATGATGGGCTAACTGGCCTGTTTTCATTCTCATCTACCACCCTTCACTGGTGCTCCGCCAGCGTATCCCGTTAGCGCAGGCGAGGTTACCATACTATTTTCACTCATCAAAAAAAAATACAAGTACATTAAAGTATTGATCAGGTAAACTTGCCACAACATGTACACACAGCATGATCCAATAATAAATGCGAGGGGGAAAGGGATTGTTAGTAACGGAGTCTAGCTGACCCATTGTCAGCAATACACCCTATCAGGTCGACCTCCACGCGGTTCGCCCTGAAAACCATCGTGGTTAATTCTAATGAAATTCGTCACGATGCGATGGGCTAACTGACCTGCCTTTTCATCCTTACCTATCATCCCTCACTGGTGCTTCGCTAGCGTATACTGATGGCGCAGGCATTACCATTCCATTAGAAAAAATAATAATAAATGCGACAAAGCCGTTCGGTTACAACAATTAATGATTTAAATTAAATATAAAAAAAGTTAAATAAAATACTAAGCTACTTGATAACACACACACATTTTTATTTAAGTGAGTTAACATGTATGACTTAACGTGCTACTATGTTTATTTTATGAGATGCTATATTAAAAAAAATGTCAGTTGAAACGAAATAAAGCCAACGGTAGGCTCGAATCTATTAAAAAACTTTATCGAAAGGGGTAATAGCGCGGCAACGAGCCAAGAATGTTGCCAAGAATGTATATTCCTGGATTACAATGCTTATCCTATAAACTAGGAGTACGCCAATCGTCTTGTCTCTCGAAATAAGAGCAATCGGGTAAAAATTTGATGAAAATTTTATTTCTATCTGTTAATAAATTCACGTTTCCATTTACTATTATTTATTTATTACGATTTATTTCAAATCTACTAAAAGGTAGACAAATACCGATTACCGATTGCTAACGACCTTTTTCCCTACACGCATGTCTTACTTTCTGCATATTTTTTCTTGTTCTTCTCAGCTGAAATTGCATTCCAAAGAAAGATATATGATAGAATCACAAATTACTGTTTAAAAATATTTGAGTTTTTTTTCCTCCTTCTTTTTGTTATTCTTTTATATTTTGTTCCATTTTTAAAAATCTTTTTAGATTATTACCGTCTCTCTTACATCGTACGCAATGGAGATTTTTCAACAATTAAATTGCATATTTTTTTAAATCGACAACCCTATTAGAGAACAAGAAACAACAGAATCACGTTACGACTTCTTTATAAGTCTAATATTTCTTGTTCATGTTCCTTAGTAGAATTTTGATAACGATGGTACGGTTAGCAAAAATCACAAATACCTATAATTATGTAATTTATTTCAGTTACATAATATTTTTCTTGGTATCCATCATTTGGAGAAATCAGAAAAACGTATTGGTCGCCCATAATTAAGCATACGTAAACTTTAAACTATAGTTTTGCTTTGAATAGGTAACAAAATATCATCAATTCGAAGCGAATAAGGCGTTCTATTCTATTCTATACTTGAGTTTATTTTAATATTAGATAGATAGAGTGTTTAAAGATTTTGTCACTTGATTAATTACTTAATTTTGTCTACCGCGTTAATAACTTAAAAGTAGATAAAAAAATATCAAATTCAATGTATTATGTATATTGTTTATTACCTATGGTACCAGTTATATCTATAAGTGATAGATACCACAGGGAGACTGTACAAAAATCATTTGCTTAGGCATCTCTGTCCCATTTGTGTATCTACCGTGAAGCAGTTGTGTTTGCATGGCTATGTTTTGGTTTGAAGAGTTCCTATCCTGTAAATTCACTGTTGTATCCTATAAAAGTAAATTTACAGGGTACAGAGTTATAATAACTTAGTCCTCAGGAATGTCAATGTATGGGGGTATCATGAACGAAACAGTACTCTGTTATGTCCATGGTATTATTCATATCATCTGGTGGGCTGTCGGCTTGCTTACCATTCTAAGTTGCATAAAAAATAGAGGGTTTTAGGGTTTTGTCACTTGAAATATTTTGTTAAGAATTTGGTGGGAAAGTAAATAAAAAATATGAAATTAAATGTATTCTGTGATATATTATATCTATAGTACAAGTTTTATATAAATAATGTAAGTATCAGATGCCACTTTCGATTAAGTAGGCCATCAATTTCTTTGCCATTTGAACAACATAAAAATATTTTTTTTTATTTATTTGAAATAGGCACACCGACAGTACCTATACATACTATAAATAGATTAAATAACATTTTTTGTATAATAATCCGATATACCTACATACCTATAGCAGGTGTCCACAACATTGATTACAGATTTTTTTTTATTATTATTTAAGGGCTTTTACCTTCTTTAGGTATCTAGGTCCTATCGTACCTGGAACTGATTTCTCAAATAAAACTTTATCTACTTTCCCTAGACGCGGAAAGAGAAGAATTAATGGGCATTAATAATTTACAGAGATGTTAAAAAAATTCTGGACATGCACATTAATATTAGATTGTAATTGAATAAATTAAATTTACACTAATTACGTATTTATTGTTTAGACCCAAGGCCAGAGCAACGGTTATGTACCTTACGTGGATTATTCAAGAGATTACGCCCCTCCAATGCCATCGGAGTCCCAGAGTGGATCATTGTCCAGGAGCATGGACGGATCTATATATATGAATAACTGTGGGTCTCTTACCCACCAGACAAGCAGTGGACTCGCTGGAATAATTGGACCTGATGGTAGGTTTTGTAGGAATAAATTATATTTATTTATTTACACTTTATTTTACCGTTTATAAAAAAAAAAAACAATAAATATAATAGAAGTGATACAAAAAGAGGCATTATCTATATATATATATATATATATATATATATATATATATATATATATATATATATATATATATATATATAAAAAGATCTTATAAAACACGAGACAATGTCCAATAATATGGAGCCAGTTGAAAGCCATCGGGAACAGCTGGCGGGCAGAGTTCAATCGGCCGGTATCAGCGGACGTACGAACTTGCTCGTTCTAATTTGCCAATCGACGGAAAAATTCACTTTGATCACACTCATGATATATATATATATAGTATATAATGAAAAACGTATATGGTGGCTATATAATTTAAGATATATATACATTTAAATAAATACATATAATTTTAACAGAAATTTTCATATCTTTGTTAAAATTATGTAATTGCTCAATCATATAAATTTTTAAGTGTTTCTGCGGGTTTTCTCCAGCAGATAACAACATTTAAAAATGAAAATTTAAAAATGCTTGTAAATAGGTATATATCAATAAATATGATTTAAATTTTAATTTAATTGATAAAATTATCAGCGAATTTCGTCTGTAATAACAAAATGTATCTAGTATTTGATTTTTGTTAATAAATAAAGATGAAGTGGTAACTTTGCCACGCTACTGATTTACTCTATTAGGGTACCAGTAGGGGAGGGGGAAACGGATTGTTAGTAATGGAGACTGAGAATTCCATTGCTAGCAAAATACCCAACCAGGACGACCTCCTCGTGGTTCCTCCTAGAAACTATCATGGTTAATTCCTGATGAATTCATCATAATGGGCTAACTGGCCTGTTTTCATTCTCATCTATCACCCTTCACTGGTGCCCCGCCAGCGTATCCCGTTAGCGCAGGCGGGGTTACCATACCATTTTCACCCATCAAGAAAGGTACCAGTAGGGGTGTCTAAGAATAGAAAAAGAATATAAAACTTTCTTAATTTTCAAAATAAAATTGGCATTTTGTTTTCAACAGTCATACCTATGCCGACTCTTGGTGTGAGCATGTCTGGTGGTGTTGATGTCAGATACGCGGCTACATATGGAAACCCTTATTTGAGAGGAAGCGGACCATTGTGTAAGTATACTATTTAATCTCATATTGCCTTTATATCTAATATATAAAACTCTTGTGTCGCGGTGTTTGTTACCAAACTCTTCCGAAACGACTTTACCGATTTTTTAGAAATTTTGTGTGTATATCGAGTAGGTCTGAAAATCGGCCAACATCTATTTTTCATACCCCTCAATCATAAGGGTGACCCACCCCTAAATATTTTTTTTTTATTTTTTTGACAAAACTTTTTAATTTAATTATGTTATGATTTAGTATTGAAAAATATATACAAATTCAAATTGTCACGCTTTTACGATCAACCCGTTTTTTAATCGCGATTTTTATATGCCGCAATAGGGTTGCAAGGTGACAATCGAATATAACAATTATAGTACAAGAAATTATCATGCATAGTTCTCGAAATAATGTATATGGTAAAACAAAGTTTGCCGAGTCAGCTAGTATTTCTATAAATATTGGAAGAGAAAGTGCTAGTAAACTAGTTCAACATTTTAATTGTCAAGTGTATTTGTTATTGCAATATAACAAGTATTTAACCCGTTCACTTGCAACTTAAATATATAGTCATTCCATTATATTTAACTACTTAAAATAAAAAAATAAATCTTGTAATAGTTTTTATTTATTTATTAGTTTACTATTAATATTATATCTATATATCTACTATACTACTACTGTATTTAATATTTAAAAAAAAACATTCAAAATCGTTGCAAAAAGAATTATTCAGATTTAAAACCAAGCTGCTGAACTGACTCTAATGAAATTTATATGAGAAGAATCTGAAAGTATATATTTTCAAACAAATAATAATTTTTGTAAAAAAATCCATAATTAATAATTTTTAATTCGTCGTGCGTTAAAAATCGGTATATAAATGATGACATTCTGAGGTGACAAAAATAAAAAAAAATCAACCCAAATTGAAATCCCACTCCTTTTTTTAAAGTCGGTTTATTATAATAATACTATTACTAGACAACTTTAAAATTGTCGCAATCGAAATCACTATTTCAAGTAACAAAATCCTCTTGTAAATTTAAAAGAAACTTTATGTTATGCATGAAATATTTGTAGCGAGAATGCCAATATATATTTTCTAATACTAGTAAATATATTCTTAGCGTACGTGCAACAAGTGAATACCAATCCATCAGCTAAGCCGGCGCCACCGCCCTACTACACCGCTAGAAACCAGAACATCCACCCGAATGGTATGTTAAAAATATATTCCGCGTCACTAGATCAAAACCCGACTAATACAAGATAAATGGATTCCCAACAAGCGTTTTATCAATGTTATATGCCCAATATTTGTTAGGAAACTCTTTTAGAGAAAACTGAGTAAATTGCGTTGCGTTGGTTTGGTCATTTGGAGAGGATGGATGAAAGAAGAATTACGAAAGAGATTTATCGAGCAAGAATGAATGGAGATGTCGGTAGGGGCCGCCCTAGACGGACGTATGTCGACCAAATAGGCGACGTGCTGAAGAAGGGCCAAATTAAAAGTACCCGTAACCGGCGAGCGTGTATGACAAGATTGATGAATGTGGAAGAAGCGAAAGAGGTTTGTTTGAATCGAAGCATTTGGCGTTCCATTGTTTCTGCCTACCCTAATGGGAGACAGGCGTGACAGATATGTATGTATGTATGTATGAGTAAATTGATATATATTTGGACGGTATGTTTAAATGTGTGGATAATGATAATACTGTTACTAAATAAGGTTAAATATTAATCATAAAAATGTAGAACTTAATGATGCTTTACGTAAATAAGGTCCCGAGTTCGATTTTCGGTCGGGCCAATTTAGGTTAAGACATGAACTTTTCTGAATTGTCTCGGATCTGGGTATTCTTGGTCTGGGTATTCTGGGTCTGAGTATTGTGAATGTAAGTATTCTGGTGTGTGCTCAAAGAAATTTGCTGTTTGGTTTCCATAACACAGTATATTCAAGCTTGGAGATTAGACAATTGGTATATTTGCGTGCCATGCAAATGCAAAAGGCAAATTTGAAAATTTCTATATTTTTATGATTTGAGCGCATTGAGATATAAAATGGTTTTAGTAATTAGGCATTCTTATTGAGATGAAGCTGTCGTATTTATTACATGAACTATGAAAGTGGATTTGATGACTTAATTCTCTTCGTGTGTACGCACACAATAGTAATGGTCTACCATTAAATTGACCAATTACGCTTCTCTTTTAACTTCTTTCATATGTTCCGCATACGTATAATTTGTTTAATTTTATAAATCAGTTGCAACAACGTCTCCATCGTCATCATCATCTTCTCGGCCTGTCACCAGTCCTTTGGCATCATCGTCATCTACTAGTAGCGCTCAACCCCAAGTAAGTTCTGTTATTACTATTTTTTTTACTTACAATCATTTCAACTTTTCGCTGTTAAGTAAATCTCTATTGTACAGCAAAAATCCCGAGTACTGGAGTGCCACTTTTTTCCGACATTTCATTTAGCAGCTACTTTTACTTTGTTTATTCACATTCTTAATATTTATTCAATTAGGTGCCTAAACTATCTCCGTTATCTTCGGGGGCCCTATATATACTACCGCCGTCCAGCCATGGAAATCTCCAGTCCAAACAAATTACTGCCAAAGGTAAAGTCTCATCATTGAAGTTATTTTCCTCAAAGAGTACCTTTCTTTAGATTTACAAAAAGCTCATACGATACTGCCTTTATTGTTTATAAAAAATTCATTCAAATAGATTCACATGAATATATATCGTAAGTCATATTGTATTGTAATTATTTATTTAATATAGTCTACTGGCGATACAGCCGTGAACCGTGCTCATGAATAAGGGTCTTTTGAGTTTCTAACTAGTCGGGCATCCCCGAATTTCAAATATGAGTAAAGCCGACATAAATAATTGCAAATTTAGATTAATCGTATTATGTGCTTGCAGGGCTATGTTTTGGTTTGAAGAGATATATGACAGTAAACTTATAGAGTACGGAGGCATATATCTTTGTCCTCAGGAATGGTAAAGCATATGGTGGATTTTGTGATACCTATATATGGTATTGTTTATGTTTATAGGCGATGGTTACTACTTTTCATGAAGCAGTATATTAGATTGTCTGCTATTTCTATGTTTTTTTTTTTTAATCTAGTTAGCTGCTGCTCGCTACTTCAGAAGTTAGAAAACTAATGAAGTAGATCGCTTCTAAATGGTGTACCGTATTAGATTTTTAGGAATATAACTGTAAAGGATGTATCTAATTTGGTGCAATATTTTTGTGTAATATCCGAACAAACATACAGACAGACAAAATTTCTAAAAATTTTTTTCGGATTTCGTTTCTCTCATTAAGATCCCACATACCATTTTTCCGAAATATCTCCCATGTGTAAAAATTGTGAAGTTACAATATTATTATATTAGTAAGATGTAAAGAACATAAGATTTTTTTATATTATTAGTAAATGTAATCAAATTAAAATGGCATACAAGTATAACGTCATATTGCACAATACTTCACCGATCAGTTTATTTGCTTTAATCGAAAGCTCGCCTAGTTGCAACAACGCCAAATTAACGGACTCCATTATCTTTAATTAACTGTTTGAATCGCTAACTGCATACGATTATTTCATATTCACAGGTAACGGATCCCAGTTAACAAATGGTACGCACGTGTAAATTTATATGTAGACTTAATTGTAACTAGTTAGAAAAAAATTGTGAATTAATTATACTTTAAGATGCTAAGTATGAATTCATTTAGACTCATCTGTACGAAAATTTAATGTCATTTGTCAATTAGATTATGCTTGGTAACATTTGTATGAAGGCTTTGTTTATATATTAATTTCTTATTTTGTTGTAAGGAAGAATGTAAGAAACAAAATATATTATTTGTATTATTTTACTTGCCGTCGATTCGAAAGTATTGTTTGGAGCAAAAGAGCAGCTCAGAATTTTTTTATTTGTATTTCATGGACAATTTCAGAAAAAATAGGCTTTATCAACCTTTTAAGGCTGTTAAAAACTACAGTATTAAGGACACAGAAGTAAGTATAGAAAAAAGGATTAGCACTATCTTTCCATATTTATACAAAAACTTCATTAACCCATGAAAATATGCTTGAATGAAAATGACTTGTAGTGCTTGAATTTTTGGAGGCAATACTTTATCTATGTAATTTTGTGTACTGTCTGGAATCCTAGCCTGTTTTTGAATGGCATTTACTTTGATTTCCCTATAGCAGTCTATTCATGATATTTAAATATAATTGGACAATACAAAATAATTACGTTTAAGAATATCAGATAATTTAAAATGGTACATTTAATCTACTACGAAAGTAGAAAAGATACGAGAGTCTTATTAATTTGAAAGACCACTTGCTTCTTACACAATTTATTTTTACGAATACTTTACCGGTGTCTCAAAGGATATACTATAAACGGGCGAAACTCATTATAAATGAGTGTTATTATCCTTTGAGAATAGCACAAAGATAAAACCAGTCAGATATTATAATATTAAATTGAAATTTAAATCGTTTAAAAGTAAAAGTATTCTTAAAGGGAAATTATTCATTTAAATATTTAACTATAATATCATAAAAAATAATATCAAAAAATGAATTTATTTAATAATTAAATTAATTTTAAATATACCTTATATTCTAAAAAATTCCTCATAATTGATAATTTTTATTCAGAATAATCTAAATATCGATCAGCCTATTCATAGTACAGATATGAATGATTTCCAATTATATCGATTATAATCGATCGTAACGTGCAATATTACAGATCGTATCGATTATATCGTTAGTGAGCACGGAACAATACTATCGATTAAATTGTCTAATATTTTTCTTAAGAAAAATAATTGTTTATTTTCTTTAAAATGTTTATAATTCTGTAATATAACGATTAGGTTATAAAAATATTACTCAAACTTATTTCCTAAAGTTATATTTAAGCCAATATGTCTATTTGAAATGTGATTTGCCTTATAAAGACAAATTATTGAATGTTATATTAAGTGACGATCAATAAAATAAATTGCTATTAAATTATATGAAATAAATTTATACAGGTGAAGTAAAAAATATTAGCAATTTCTAAGGGTGTTCTGTATTAATGAAATTTAACATTTTATCCAAAGAAACATGAGTTATAAATAAAAAAAAAATGCAAGATATCCCATAGTGCGGATAGTGGAGAAGCAGCGGATGAGATTAGCACAGGATTGTTGCAAATGGGTCAATATGGGCAAATTAGATACTAATTATTGCACATCTGTAATTACATAAATGTTGTAAGTGCTCATGAGCAACGATAGTCACTTACCATCAGGTGAGTCGCCCATAGTGGCTTAATAGCTTGACATGCCACGTTGGTATGAGAGTTTTTTTTTTTTTATAATTTATGTGGATTTGAAAAATGTTCAGTTACATTAATAGAACATCGTCTTAAAATAATGTTAATAATTTTGAATTCACCCAGTAGTATATAATACATTATTGTATATACATAAGTTATTGTTACATACATTTATATTAAGACTTTTAAAATTATTAATATAAAATTTACTTGCCAATTTTGATAAATGTTTAAAAGGATTTACTAAATATTGATCTTAAAATTGAAAATTCATTATTGCTTTAAATTAATTAAAATAATAAATTCGACGTCCATGATACGTCCATTTAATGTCTACTCGACGTCAATTTAATTTGATCCCAATTCTATTGCGTCTAAACTCACCACAATGTTTCTCGAATCGTTATTAATAAGTAGGTGTATAGTTGAAATGTTTTTGTTAATGTACTGTAAGTAAATATTTCTGATAAGTAGATTTATGTGTCTGGTATTTACAAACTGCTGTCCTCATGGCGATATTGTCGTTATATTGTCCTTTGGGAATTAGATGCTTTCCCGCGGTATAAAATATCCTATATATTGACCTACATCTCAAGTTTACACCTTTCCAAATTACTTAAAAAACCAGTTAAGTAGTTTTTGCGTGATATATACATAGCCATGGCCTAGTTACAGTATTGTAACAACCTGTTTTATTCATGTGTATGAATGTATGTAAGGGCATTCATCATTTATCAGGGAAAACAATGCTTGTTTCTGTAACATACACTTTTTTTGAGAATTTTATGGAATTGTTAATTATAACAATATGAAGCCATTTCATTATGTATGAATTAATAATAAATTGAGCCTAAAATGTTGAAGCTTTAAGCGTGAAGTCAAAGAATACTAATTTTAAGTAGATTTTCCATTAAGATAATTATGTACATAACATTTGTTCGTTAATTGTAAGTATCTTTAATGAATTGTTTTTTATAATTGTGTATTTTAAATTTAGAACATATTTTATACTTTTAAGTAGTATTTAAAAAAAATAATATAAAGTCATACTCATAATGACAGTAAACAAAGATTGTGGCCAAAAAAAACAGGCTTCAATTGTGACAGAACAAAATTTGAGTTTAAAAATTAAATTACTTAACCGATTTTGTTAAAATATCTACAGAACTAATCTGTAAGTATATCCTTTAAAAATATTTTAAATTGTTTTAGAGCTGACAGAGTTATGAGGTAACAAACAAAAAAAAAAATACAATCGAATTGACAAATTCCTTCTTTTTAAAGTCGATTGAAAAGATGGAAGAGATGCGTCTGTTTTGAATGTGGGTTAGTTGCAATAAATTCGTTTTTTACTAGTAGAGGATGGCTATGTTATACATCTTTATTTACTCTGTTATACATACTAAGGTAGATACAAACATATGGCGATTATAGCATTAACAGTTGTAATATTTTTTCCTGCTTTCTAGATAGATTTGAACCTACTTTAATGGTGTTATTTCATGTTTTCAGCCACTGTTAGTCCATCTGTTTAATGTCCATTATCAATAGTAATTACAGTAGAATGGCAACGCATGAAGTGTCATTGACGACACAGTATATTCTGTTATGTCCACAGTGCTGTTTATATCTATAGGCGACGATTACCACTTTCCATCAGGTGGGCTGTCAGCTTATTTGCCATTCTAAGTTGCATAAAAAAAGAAAAATATACTTGAAAGTATAAAAAATGTATTGATATAAACGAGTCTAGACATAGATAAAAATTCGTATTCGTTTACTTCTTTATCTGAGACTGAAATTGTAAAAATGTTTTAGATGGTAATCAGGCTGTTGATTGCGTGTAATTAACACGTTCGCTGCTAATATACGTAGTACAGTGTCGCCCTCTGCCGTGAAGAGATTTTATACCATCTTCGTTACACACAATACACGAAAAACCTTTAACGTCGCTTACTGGATCATCGTTTTACGTGTCCACGTGTCCACAGAAGTACGGAGTGAATCGATAATAATTTTTAAATTTGTAAATTCACAGGTTTTGGTTAGAGATTCTATTTAGAGCTAGTCAATTGAGGTTTTCCCTAAACACTGCAGTGTGGGGTTCTTAAAAAAATAGTGTATTATAGTTTCTTCAAGTTCAGCAATACGCACGTGACACCCTTAGTGTTATAAACCATATGCTACAATGATCGTTCACCATCAGTCGAGCTGTAAGCTTGTTTGCCAGCCTCGTGGTATAAAAAAGCGTCGTCCAGCTAAGCTGTTGTCCACACTGTTGTTTTCTGATTATTATAAATAATGTATTTTTTATTACAATTACAATAATTAAATATAATGCCATGAGTTTACTTCAAGTTGCCAGCGAACGGTTTAATTACTTGTTATATTGTAATAATAATTATAATAGGAATAATCTGATATAAAAAATAAACTTTTAAATAATAACAGTTGTTTTATTTCATAATATCATTTTTAAATAGATAGATAATTTATTTATTGACCATTATAAATACATAATTTATAAATTTATAAGTGAAACAAAAATTTGTAGGTGGTCGGTATTTTGATATCAAAGTATTTAGTTCCTTTTTAAGCAATTTAAAAAAAAAAATCTTATCTTTATATTACATACTCTTGGCCAAACTTGTTTTTGAGAAAATGTCTTATTATGTTACAATTGAAATGGGTTTTATGAAAGTGTTCAAATATTAAGTGCAGCGCAAAATTGCTAAAAGAAGGACAATTAAAAATGCGTTTTACAAAAAAATTTAATACACTAGCGGGGCATCAGTGAGAGATGATTGGTGAGGATGAAAAGGCAGGTCAGTTAGCCCATCGTGACGAATTCAACGTTAAATTGGACTGCGCGGAGGTCGACCTGATAAGGTATTTTGATAGTGATGGGGACTAACCTCTCCATTACTAACAATCTCTTCCTCCCCATTAAGTGTATTGTAGTCAATAGATGTAGGTAACTCTTGACTGTTACATATTAAGACAGTGGATAAATAATGGTTTTTATGATGACAATGATGATTATAATATTAGAAGAAATATTGTATATTTTCAAAGTGTGTCTATCTTTTTAACCAACTTCAAAAAAGAGGTTTCTTAAGGAGGTTGTATTTTCAATCGATTTCATTTTTTATATACCACAGTTAGGTATAAACTTATTTAAAAAAATCTTCATTTATCTTAAAGGTACAGTAATTTAGTTTTGAAATCAAAATAACAGATTTTAGCACAATTGAAATCGGTTTTTTTCATGTGACACACAATGTTTCCTTCTCGTTGTTTCCTGCTTTACTCGCGTAGATATGTAAAATATTCTACGTTAAAATATAACCTACCTGGGTACCAAATTTGATTCAAATCTAACCAGCCTTTTAAGCATGATTTAGCATGATAAATACACAAACAAACAATACAAATAATACAATACAATACATTTCACATGAATCATAAAATTACAAGCGATCACTATATCATGATTCCATCGAATAACTATACAAAAAAAAATATAATTTATTAGAGTAAGAGAAACAACGTACAATAACAAATTAGATTAAATTCTATGTCAACTATATATAAGGTTAATATTACAATAACTAACATATATATAATATAAGGATGTTACGAAGAAAAACTTTCATTGGATGGTTTTTTCTCACATGAAAGCGGTTACAATAAAGCGCTATATATGCTGAGTTGACATTGTGCCATTCCCAGTAACTCTGCGTATATTGCCATATATATCTCAAGGCTACTTGCCAGAGGTTAGGTTTATAGCTAGCAGTAAGCGGGTTTATTGTTTTGCTCTGCCGTATTGTGGGGCACTTACCCGACTGCGGCGAATATGAATGGGGCATAATGTTATTTGCAAGGGTACAGAGGTGAGTGAACTAGTCCTTATTGAGGTTACACTATTCCTAGCAATATTAATTTATACTGTACATTTCCTGGGTACTTCTTACGACACCCACGGGAAAGGAAAGGGTGGCCCATTCTATGCCAGAATTACACGGTTAAAATAAGAAAAAATTAAATAAATTATCAATCAGAAATATTGAGAATTATTCAATTGTTTTTGAAAACTGACAGGTAATTCCGAAGTTGTCACATTTTGGTAAGTTTCGGTATGAACGCTTCTAAAAGTGACACCATTATCAGACGGTCTGTCTTTATCATGAAAAGGGGAGATGAAAGAGACAAGAACAATAGAGAGGTGCCAGTCCAGTAGGCACTTGTACACTTTGTGATCACAAGTGCTCTTCTACGAGTTGGGCCACGAAAATTACGAGTGATTAAACTTTGAGACGATTTGTCGGACGGGTGGATTTTGTTCAGTAATAAAAACTAATTTTAATTGTGGAAAAACTAGTTATTTTGAATTGAAAATTAGACTACTGGATCGATTTTCGAAAAAAATTTATGGTACTAATGTAAAAATATACCCTTTCAGATGAAGAAAAAAATCCATATCGGTTTACAAATTACAGAGTTCTGAGGTAACAACTTAAAAAAAGATACAACTAAATTCATAACATCTTCATTTTTGAAGTCGGTTCAAAATTAAGTAAGCACTCTTAGGTGCTTCTTTCCGACATTTAGGTTATAAAGTGAACTCCATGCAGAGGTTTCCATGAGAGACTACAGGGTTCTTCAAAAAAGTTATAAAGTGGTTTCTTTAGAGTAAAAAATACGCATGTGATGCCTCTGATATTGCAGGCATTCATAGGCTAAGGTAACTACTTATTATCAGGTGGTCCGTAGGCAAAATGCTAAACATTTAAAATAACAATATAATAAAAATGGTAAAATAACGTTTATGTCCTTTGTTTCGGATATATATGGTATATATTTTCAGTCTCAGATTATATAGATAGTGTCTCCAAACAAATACTTCGAGAAAAGTAGGTCAACTTTTTCATAAAATTTTGGGTGATAAATAGCTATGAATGATATAACTTTTATATTTATTTTGTCTTATAAATTCTGCACTTTTTTAATGCGCAACTCATTTTATTTCTTAAATAACTAAATACAAATATCTCACGATACATTAATAAGCGTGTGCGTAAGTATATAGAACATTAATAAAAAAAACGAGTCGGCTAATTTGACAATTAGCTGACAAAAAGTTGATCCGTTTTTGAGGCTCGAGACTCTATCTATATGATCTAAGATCCTAGTATACATTATTACGCCCATGGTATTGTTCATGTCTATAAGCGACGATTTATACTTTTCATCAGCTGGGCCATCAGCTTCTTGGGCAATATTAGGTACAAAAAATAACTTTAAGAAGAAATGCATAAATTATTATGAAGTCAAATACGCTGGCTTCATAGCCAAAACTTGAAACAGTAGCAAAGAGGTGCGAGATAAGTATTTCAAGCCCTCCTCAGCTTCGTCTTATCGCTTCGATGTCAGATACAATAAGATCTCGTAACGTCTACCAAGTGAGTATACGAGTATGCAGCTAATTCCGTTTTTAAATCGTATCGAGAATGTGAATTCGAAAGATACGTCCATTATGGATGTCAATAAATTAATTTTTAATTTAAACTTAAATTGAATAAATAGAAAAGATTTGATTGATTGATTGATGTTTCTTTGTAATAGATAAACTCAAAAACTATATTATCAACAAGTAACGTAAACTTATTTACTTATTTATTAAAATATCGCACGAAATCTAATATTAAATCTGAGATGGGAAGTTTTCGGGCTAATTAGAACAAAAATATCGTAATAAATTATATGTATACGCTTCAATAAGCAACGATATTGATTGGTGAGATGTTTTGTAGACACATTAGTCAGGAAATATTTGAATTTAGAATGCAGAAGAAAGCATGTGTCTACAAGCAGATATTGCTCCGTAACAAGGTGCATTTTTTTCCGCAAATAAAAGTGATTGCAATATATTAGTTTTGAGAATGTCGTTATTGCTGTTTGATTCTGCGTTCTAAATTCAAATAGAATAGATTGAAGATTGAAGTCACTTTATTAACCGACTTCTATAAAAGAGGTGGTTATCATTCGGTTTATTTATTTATTCATTAGTACAAGTATGTGTACATGGCGGGCTTAATTCTAAAAGCATTCTCTGTCAGATAGATTGTTGGAGAGTTTCAAACAGGTACTGGAATTTGTTGCTTAAATAATTAGAAGACTGGGTTTTTCGAAGAAGAGTAAAGAGTGTACAAAGAGTCCTAAGATTTCTGCGTTGACGAATGGGAAGTTATTTGAGCTGAGACCGATAGAGAGAAATGAGACCGAACTTCCGAAGGTTGTGAATAAAGCGTATGGCTTGATTGAGGAGACCGTCCAGCTTATCGAGAAGATCTTCATTGAGATCTGGATAACACACATCAGCATAATTAATAATAGAAAAAATTAGGGCGTGAACAAGATTGATCTTTGTAGCGATAGGCAAAAAGTTTTTAAAGCGGTATAAAGAGCGTAGAGTAGGAACAACTGAGCGATTCACCTCCGCAACTTGATATGACCAGCTGAGTGCTGAGTCTATGTAAAGGCGAAGATCTTTAACGCAAGCTTTCAGATCTGTAACTGAATTGTTAAATGTGATTGGAACCATTGTGTTAACATTAAGTTTAGCTAATTGTCTAGAACTGTTAATCCAATCACAATAGCCTGACACTTAGAAGGGTTAACAGCTAATCCATAGTTAGACGACCATGCCAGAATGTTATTCAGATCGTTATTAATATTCGCTATAGCCTGATTGATATGATCTACAGGATTATGATGTATATTCAGTTGTTTTTTTTAAGAATTTTCATATACATTTCAACAACCGATATGGTTTAATAGTTTATTTTTTAATAGAAAATTACAGGTTTCTGGTTGTGATTATGCTTAAATCAGTTTTGCCACTATCGAAGTTCGGATTTTTTTTCTGGCCATATCCTACTGATTACAGTGTACTTTTTTACGGTTGAAAACGGAATGGTAACTCCGCCTGCGCTACCGGTATATACCGACGAAGCACCAGTGAAAGATGATAGGTGAGAATGAATGCAGGTCAGTTGGTCCACCATGATCAATTCGACAAGAATTAACTATGATGGTTTTCAGGAGGAACCGTGTGGAGATCGAGCTGAGAGGGTATATTGCCAGCAATGAGACTATTAGACCTCATTACTAACAATCTCTGCCCTCTCGAGTTACAGTGTACTCAGCGGAAGAGACTTATTCAGTTTACGTCGAAACCTCCAAAGACAATATTTGGCCTGTCCACTATCATACACAGGCAATTTCCATACACAACGAGGTTCCTAGAATGTATAACAAAACTGAGGGCGAGGCAATCTAGTGCGATGTTTATATTCAATCTCAAAGGATGTTATACCAAAGGGATGGCTATGTAAACTAAGTCACCGTTTGACTCGCTTCTGATTCACATTGCGTATAATAAG